CACACACACACACACACACACACACACACACACACACACGCTAAAACCCAGAGACCCGAGTGACCTATTTTTCAGGAGAAAGCCGAGGCAGGAAGATTCTGACCATGATGTCCAGGGTTCCCCGTTCTTCACTAAGGATGATCTTCATGGTCCTCAGCCCTCTTCCTTGGTCAGCGGCTCTACGTTGTTGCCGGTCCCCAAGGCTGCCTACAGAGCTTTGAGAAGCAATATCCCGCGCGACTCACTCAGACAGCCGCGCCCCGGCCAGGCTTTGCGCTTGCGCACCCGCGTACTGAGAATGCCTGATGAGCATGCGCAGCAGTCTCAGAGCTGCGCACGCGCAGGGGCCGTAAAGCGCGTTCTTTGGTAAAGGGTATCCCAAGTAGTTGGAAACCAGCAGCAGAGCCTAATGGTTTGGGCGCAATGGCCCTCTGGGTTGGCTTAACTACAGAGGCTGAGAAAGCAGGAAGCGAAGGGGCGGTGCCTAGAATGCCCTGAGTCACAGCCATGAGGAGGGTCTTTGGCCTTGGCAGTAGGGGGCAGGCGCCCTCAGGCCCTGCAGGCGTGCAGGGCAGCTCCGGGGGTCCGCGGCCTAGGGTCGGTGTCAGGGCCGTGGGCAAGCTCCACAAGGCTGCCAGCACGGGTGACGCGGCCAGGGTGCAGCATCTCCTCATTCTGGGGAAAAGTGGCATCAATGACAGAGACAAGAAGTACAGGTAATGGGGCTGCGGGGAGGGGGGGCTGCAGGTGGGAGGTGCGAGGGTTGGTAGGGCCCAGGGGGTGAGGAGTGGGAGAGATGAGCAAAGGGTGGGCGGGCTGGCGGGTGGGCAAAGGCTGCGGGTGGGAGGCTTCCACCACCCTGGGAGGAAACCTTGTGGGGGTATTATCCCCAGGCAGCAAAATATGAGCAGCAAAATAATGACAACTTTCAATCAAGTGGTCATAGATCACTTTACTGACTACTTGAAAGTGACTTCACTACGTAAAAAATGTGTAGAGTTGTTGTTGTTTTTTTTTTACGGTAACAAATATGTGTAGGTTTTTTTTTTTTTTTTTTGTACCAGGGATAGAATTTAGGATTTTGTGCTTGCCAGGCAGGCTGCGGCACCTCTGAACTAAATCCCTGGCTAGTCTTAATATCACAATAAGCAAACTTGTATACATTGTAAAAAAAAAAAAAAAAAAGTACACTAGGAACTATTTCCCGTAATATATTAAATTCAGGGCTAAAACTTATTCTGATAAAATCTAGTATCCATTTTTTTATCAGTCTTCACCTGTGCACATATATTCTTTACTGAGGAACCTTACATGGAAACTGAAATGGAAACATGGCTCCATGTTCTTGACTAGAAAGATTCATTAGTCCCAAAATGTGTGCTTTCTGTTCATCAGTGTTATATAAACCCAATAAAAATGTCACGTAACACTTGAGTTCACATGCCCTCTTGTGCTATTGTGGTGTCAAAAAGAAAATGTAGTGTAAGACCTGCCTTCCTAGGTATCAAAACAAGCTATTTTCACAAATTAATTGTTTACTAACAGCCAAAAAGACAAGTAAATGTAAGCTAATCAAATATCCAGAAAAACTCAAATATCTGTAAGAATTTAGAACCTGATACTGGTAACATCCTTATTGGAAAATCAGAATTAGCCATGAATGAAATGCCTGTGAACTGTTTGAAAAATACAAGCTAGATTTTTGTTTCACAAAAGTTCCTGGAGTAAATTAAAAATTTTAAATAATACAAAATAAGAAAAGTATCAAAAGAAAACACAAAGGCCTGTTTGTGCCTTCCTAAGAATGGCCTCAAAAGCAAGTACTCTCTTTTTATGCTGGGGGTTGTGCCCAGGGCCTGGTCCACGCTAAACATACAACCTACATAAAAACAGGAATTCTGAAGTTTGACTATCAAAAGAAAAACTCCCCTTTATGTTAGAAAAAAGTTAACAAAATGAACGACAACATACTTCTGAAACATTTACAAAATAAGATCTGATGAAAAATGTATCATCCTTTTACAGAAAGATTTTTCAAATCATCAAGGAAAAATACTGAATTCTAGTTATTTATTTTGGGGACCACTGCTAAGCTATACTGAACTCTAATTGGGTAAAGTATTCTTTTGCAGATCTACAAGTGACCTATGAACATAGAAAAAAAATGTAAAGAGTTCTGGGAAAAGAAATTTAATTTTAAAAAAGGATGAAATGCTGTTTCACATGCACAAAATTTGTGAAGATGAAGAGCAGTTTATACTACTGTTTAAAATTTAAAATGGCAGGGGTGGGATTTAGCTCTGGTTTTACCACCTACCTTGCAAGCGCAAGGTCCTGAGTTTGATACCTGGTACCAAAAAAGAAAAAAAGTAAGATGGCCACTGACTTTTGAATGGACAATTTGGTGTAAGTACTGTACCACATTTTTAAAAAACGTGTTTTCACCCATCAATTCCTCGATACTAAAATATCTTGAGGACTCAGAAACACATGTAATTTGCTCTTCAACATGGTTTAAAATAGCAGTGTGTTAAGAAGGCGACTCCATAGAAGAGATTGTATCAATTGCAGTGCATTCATAGAATAGAATAATATGACCATTGAAGTTGTCATAGTCATTGATGTATGTTAACACAGAAAGATGCACTCTGGTATATCAAGTGAGAAAAAAGTTTGATTTTGCATACACACAAATAGACTGAAGTCTTGTGTTAGCCAAAAAAGTGTACAAAAAGGGGTAAAATTTGTTATTTTCATGCATTAGTGAAGTTTTCTGTTCCTTTGTTATTATTTAGAAGTTCTATTCCCAACATTTAACAACATTACCTTTTTGTTTCTAACTTTACTTTCCTTGACACCAGAAAAGATACTCAGTATTCTTTCAGGATTTTGATGTTTTTTGAGTCTTGCCTTTTGTATTATCATGTGATTAGTTTTGTTAGTAGTTCTGTGTGCACTTCTTTCCTTTCTCTTATCTGTGATTTCTACAGTGAATGTGTATAAAATGCTAATAAAAGTTTACTGTTAATAAACAGGAGAACAACAGGAATATTAATTAGCACAGATAATAATTTTCACTTTCTGTGTGATTATGTGAGTGCATTGGTATTTCTTCCAGCTCTTAGCTTCTTCAGAAGTAATCATTTATGCTTATAGATTGTATTATGTGTACACTTAATTATATGCATTTTAATTATATATAAATTTAGTACATATTTACAAGTATAGGTCATTTTAATTTACCTTTAGTGGAAGTAAAAGGTATCAAATATAAATGATTATTGCTATTGCAGAAATATTGCTGTACTTTATATTCCCCAACAGTATTTATCCATTCTTCCTGAATACCTATTATGTATTCTACTATCAGGATCCCTCCCTCCTTAAACCATCATACGTACCTGTTCAGTCTAGCAAGTTGAGAGGTTCAAAATTGAATTAAGAACTCGATTTCAATTGAAGCTTTTCCTTTCTTTTCTATCAAAAACATGCTCTGAAGATAGGAAATTAGACTCGTTAACTGCTCTTTTGAAAATCTAACAGTACTAGATGCTAATGTTAAGCATTAGAAATATTTGATTTCTGTGCATTCTATAAATACTGAAGAAAAATGTGCTATACCTGCCTGTTTGAATCCTGAGTTTTACTCAGCTTAAAATGAAAATCAAAGTAAGCCTTGCCTTGTTATTTTATTTTGTCTTATTTTATTATTTTTCAGCCCTTTCCTTGTAGTTTTTAAATACCAAGCACATAAGCACAGCTGCCATAGACCTGTTGCTGTATCATATTTTACATAATGTAAGGTGCTATGGATTGTGTGGTGACTCTATATGAAGAAAACTTTTAAATGCCATTGCTGCAGGGTTTTCATGTAGAGAGGTGAGGTGAGACACCAAGGCTTTTTTCCCTAGAACACAACTTTATTCATGCCAGCACTGACTCAGCAGATTGGGATTGGGATTCAAAGGCTGAGTGCTGAATATGGCATAGTTAGTTGCACCTTCTTACATAATTGATTTATTTTACTTAATTGAAATGTTGTCTTTTTAAAGTAGTAATTATAATATCAAATAATTATTGAGTTATTTGTTCTAGAAACTGTTCTAGATACTTTTCATGGATTCTTATTTAACCATCACAGTAGTGTCCTGTGAGATAACTGTTTTCAGTCATCATTTTGTAGATGAGAAAGTTGAGACATAGGCTAAAAGATAGCTAGAAACTAAGACTTAAAGGAGATATTAAATCTAAGTTAAGCTCAATCCAAAGTTTGCTCTTTCTGTAACAGTAGGCTGCTCTGGGCTGGGGAGGCTATTGTGGCTCAGTGTAGAGCTCTTGCTTAGTATGGGCAAGACCCTGGCTTCCATCCCTGCACCATACACACAAACACAAAATCACCTGGCTGCTCTTCCATGAATTGGTGAGTAATAAGTATTATACATTTTAGAATAAAAGTAAATACTTATTTTGAAAGCTATTTAATGTTCATGATTACAAGAATCATTGTGCATTGTGAAGTAGAGCTCTGTAATTTCCTAATGATCTTTCTCACTGTTGTAGGACCGCTTTGCATTTTGCCTGTGCCTATGGCCATCCTGAAGTGGTGACTCTTCTGGTGGAGAGAAAGTGTGACATTGATGCCTGTGACAGTGAGAACAGTACCGCTTTGATTAAGGTGGGTAGCAGGCACCAATTTCAGCTTGAATTGTATTTAAATGCTAAAAATAAAAATTTAATTGATGCAATTTAATATCACTACTTAGTGAGGCATGAGGAACGTCTCTTTTGAGTTCCCTGAGTTGACATTCCCTTGTTACAATACCCACAGGCTGTACAATGCCACCAGGAGGAGTGTGTGACTATTCTCTTGGAACATGGTGCCAATCCGAATGTTGCAGATGCTAGTGGCAACACTGCTCTCCACTATGCTGTCTATTGTGAAAACTCATCGATAGCAGCAAAACTGCTTTCACACCATGCAAATACTGAAGCCAAAAATAAGGTATAGATCAACTAATTTTATTTCCAAGATATTTGAAATAGTTGCATGTTAACAGTAATGTATAGGTAGGGTCAGTTTTCCATAAGCTTAGGCATTCCATGAATGAAAATACAGTATTTAAAATAACTTAATTGTTAAAGATTTTACTTTAAATGTTGATAATTTTAAAGAAATACTAGAGAGTACAGGTTTCTTTTATGCATTTATGGCAATATTTGTGAAAATACTAAATAATTTTTAAATCTCTTTTTTCTCATATTAGTTCCACCAAAGTTGTTTTCCTCCCCTTGATTAGTGTAAAACTTTTGCAGAACAGCAAAATTTGCCTTGGAAATAGCCTTTATTTTAAAACCTAAAGAGAACAATGTGGACCTTCTAGTTATAATTGGCCTGACATGTGAACAACTTGGGTTAATTAGGTTAATGGAAGATTCATCTACCTCTTGTTATCTATAGCGTGTACCCAGGTAAACATCCATATCTCAGCTGTATTGACTTAATTGCAACCAGCCCTCAGAACCGATTGAGTTCGTAAGTCAAAAGTCTGCTATATTAGGTTAGAGTGATAGAGTCTTTTACAAGGTTTTCAGTTCAGTTGAGAAATAGGTAATTGTGTGGATTATAAATTGTTTTTGCTCATTCACAGGATGACCTCACACCACATTTGCTTGCTGTAAGGGAAAAGAGACAGCAAGTAGCAGAATTGCTTATAAAGAAAGAAGCAAATATTCATGCAGTGGATAAGCCAGAAAGGTATAGTTGTTCTTTTTTAAAACAAGACTTTAGTGGTGCTCTAGAGTAAAAATAAGTCAAATAATACACAGTCAAATATATCAATAGGAAGAAAGCTAATTTACAATTATTGGGATATAATGAAAAATATCAACACAAACCATCAGAAAGCAATTTTTTGGATTGGGCAACACAAAGAACACTATGTGGAAAGATTCATGCTCTGTTAGTAATACTAATGTTTGCTATTTTTATGAAAAAATAAAATTTTATAACAAAATAAGAATAACACTAGTTAATACACTGTGTATAGTTGTCTTTAAAGTACTTTCTCAGAGTATGAGATATGAACCGGAAAGATTCTTCCAAAAAAGAAACAGGTACACAAAACTTTCTTTTCAGTGCTCTAAGATAAACTAGTAATATAAATGAAACCAATTAGTATATATATTAAAATATTTTTGAAACAGGTAATTTGGAGAAGTATTTGAACTTCTCCCTACTTTCTATTTTTTGCATGTGTGTGCGTGCATGTGTGGTGTGCATATATGTGTGTGTGTGTGTGTGTGTTTGTAATATATGTAATCTATAATATACATAATATATATAATATATATTATATATATAGTTTGTCATATGAGAGAACATGTGAGCTTGTGTGTCAGACTTATTTCATCTAACATTAGATTCTCAAATTTCATCCATTAATCTATGACTGCCTCAAGTTTATCTTTCTTTATGGCAGCATAGTATATAAATACTATTTTACTTATGCATTCATTGGTTGATGGACATGTATACTGTTTCAGAGATGTAGCTATTATCAATTGTGCTGCTATAAACATGTATCCCTGTATCCCTGTATTATGATTTTAACTCTTTGAGAAGATACCTGGAAGGAGCATAGCTGGATCAAATGGAATTTCTATTTTCAGTGTTTTAAGGAATTTCCATACTTATTTCCCTAGTAGTACTACTTGACATTCCCACCAACAATGTAGAAAACTTTCTTCCCTTTTCCCATTCTCATCAACATTATTATTAGACTTTTTTGATAATAACCATTCTTCCTGAGGTAAAATGGTATTTACAATGTAGTTTTAATTTCCATTTCTCTGATGGCCAGCAATAGTGATTATTATTTCATGTATGTATTGGCCATTTGTACTTCTGAGAAATGTCTTTTCATTTCGGTTGACCATTTTTCAACTGGGTCTTTATTTTTGGGAGATCTAATTTTTTATTAGTTGTATATAAATTCTTGATGTTAGTCTTCTGCCTGTGGAATAGCAGGCAAAAAAATTTTTTCCCCATTCTGAAGCTTGTCTGTTGACGTTGTTGGTTGTTTCTTTTGCAGTACAGAAGCTTTTTAACTTGATATGATTGCATTTGTTGATTCTCTATATTATTTTTTCTACCATTGGGGTTCTATTCAGAAAATCCTTGCCTATGCCTGTGTCTTCAAGAATTGTACCTATTTTATCTTCCGGCACATTTTTTCTGTTTTAATATTTAGATCTTTGACCCATTTTGATTTTAGTTTAGTACATGTTTAGGTATATAGATGTAGACTCAACCTTCTGCATGTTGGTATCCAGGTTTCTCAGCACCACTTATTAAAGAGTCTGTTGTTTCTCCCGTGTATGTTTTTGGCTCCTTTGTGAAAGATCACACAGCTCTGTGTGCTTGGGGCTATTTCTGTTTCATCTCTTCTGTTTCACTGATGCACATTCCTGTTTTTGTGCTAGTACTATGTGGTTTTAAGCACTTTAGCTGTATGGTATAACTTTAAGTCTGGGATATGATGTCACGTGCTTTGCTTTTTGTTATCCAGAATTTCTTTTACTATTCTGTGTCTTTTCTGGTTCCATATAGAATCGTTTCTCTAGCTCTGTGAGAAATGACATTGGTATTTTGCTTGGAATTGCATTAAATATGTATATCACTTAGAAGTAAAGCCATTTTGACAGTATTGGTTATGCCTATCCAGAAACAGGGATATCTTTCCATTTACTAATGTCTTGAATTTCCTTTTTCAGAGCGATGTAATTTTCACTGTAGAGGTCTTTCCTTCTTTAGTTAGGTTGATGCATATTTAATTTTTTTGATGTCATTGCGAATGCTATTTTCCTCATTGAAAAAGCAATGAGTTTATTATTAGTATATAGGAATGCTATTGATTTTTTGTGTTTTTATTTTGTATCCTGATACACTGCTAAATTTGATATCAATTCTAGGAGTCTTTTGGTGGAGATTTTGCAGTCTTATAAATAATCATGTTACCTGCCAATAACGCTATTTTGACTTACTCCTTTCCTATACATATCCCTTTTTTTCTTTCCTGATCACTCTCACTAATATTTCAAGGACTACACTGATCAACAGTGGTGATAATGAATCTCCTTGTATTCCTGATTTTATTGGAAAGGCTTTCAGTTTTTTCCCATTTAATATGATGTTAGAAGTAGGTTAGTCATAAATGCCTTTTATCATGTCGAGATAAAATACCTTCTATACCTATTTTTATCAGATTTTTAATGATGAATCAATGTTTTTTGTCAAAGGCTTTTTCAGCATCTATTGAGAAGATCATTTGATTTTTGTTCTTGTTTCTATTTATGTGATGAACTACATTTATTGGTCTGTGTATATTAAACCATCGTTGAATCCATGGGATGAAACCTACTTGGTCATTGTATATGATCTTTTTGATGATTTGTTGCATTAGTCTGTTAGTATCTTGTTAAGGATTTTTACATCTATGTTCATTAGAGAAATTAGCTTGTAGTTCTCTTTTTTTATTGGATCCTTGTCTGAGTTCTCCAGTTGCTTGGTGTATGTGTTTGTAAAGTATTTGTTAATAATTATCTGGATTTTGACAGTGTCTATTGTGATTTCACCTTTTTTATTTCTAATTGCATTATTTTGTGTCTTTCCTTTTATTGTTAAGATTAGCTAAGGGTTTATATATTTATTCTTTCAAAGCTGTTCAGTTCATTGATGGTGTTGTTTATTTAGTTTCTATTTCATTGATTTCTGTGCTGATTGTTATAATTTCCTTCTTTGTACTACCTCTGGGTTTGAATTGTTCTTGTTTTTCTGTGACTTTGAGTTGCATCATTAGGTTATTTATATGAGCTCATTCTATTTTTCTGACATGGTCATTCACAGTTTTATACTTTCCTCATAGGACTGCTTTCATTGTGTGCCATAAATTCTATTTTCATTTAATTCTAGGGTATGTCTTATTTCTTCCTTAATTTCCTCTTTGACTGATTATTCAAAAATGTGTTGTTTAATTATGCATGTTTGCATAGTTTCTGTGGTTTCTTTTGCTTTTGATTTCTAATTTCATTTCACTGTGATCTGATAATATGTGTGGTAAAATTTCTATTCATTTGCTTAGGCATGCTTTATTAGCTAGCATGTGGTCTGTTTAGGAGACAGTATCATGTGTGGCCAAAAAGAATATGTATTCTGTTGTTGGGTGGAACACTGCATATAGTAAGTTCCCAACTTATGAACATTCAAGTTGCGAACTTTCCCAGATAGAAATGGATCTCATTGTTACAAACATTCATAGATGCAAACAAATCACAGTAGCTCATGTCTGCCAGGTGTTGTCACAGCTATACTGCTGTGTGCTTACTGTACAGTGCAATAGTATACAGTGCTCGGTCAGAGCCCAGGATGTCTAGAAGCAGGAGGAAAAAGTGGTGATGTGGGGGTATTGCTAGGGAGCACAAAACAATAACCATGAAACAAAAGTAAAAATAATTGAGAGATTGGACCAAGGCAAAAAGATGGTAGATGTTACTTTTTCTCATAACATGAATCTTTCAACCATTAGCACGGTTTTAAAGAACAAGGGCAAGATCATGGAACATGTGAAGTCTGCTGTGCCAGTGAAGTCATTTTGTTGGACTTATGAACAAATCCAACTTACAAATGTTCTCCTGGAAGATAACTCATTCATGAGTTCGGAAACTTACTTGTATATATAGTGTCTATTTGTTCAAGGTTTGGTTCAACTTTGATATTGCTTTGTTAAGTTTTTGTTTAGGTAATCTATTTGTGGTAATGAGAAATTGAGATTCCCCAGTGTAATTGTATTATGTTTATCTGATCTTTTATTTCCAATAGAGTTTTGTAAAGTTGAGTCACTATGGTTTGATGCATACATGTTTATAATTGTTATCTCTTCCTAATGAATTATTATGTTAACCAGTATATCTATAATTTTTTTGTGTGTTAAATGTGTTTCTTATATATAGCATACTGTGGATTTTATTTCATGATCCATTCTACTAATCTGTGTCTTTTGACTGATGAGTTGAGTCCATTTACATAGGTAGTTATAATTGATAGGTATTTATTCCTGTCATATTAATTTCTTGTTACTGTTTTGCTTTCTTTCCCTTCTACTTAATTATTAGCCCTATCTTATGTATTCTTTTTATTGGATCTTTCACATTGTTAGCTTGTCTCCTAAGATATCCTTGAAAAATTTTTAGAGTATTTATTTGGTAGTCATAACTTCTTTAGGTTTTCTTTATGTGGATTTATCGTATTTCTCCATCAGTTTTGAAAGATAATTTGCAGTCTATAACAGTCAAGGTTGGAAGTTGTTTTCTTTAAGAGCTTGAAACAATTCATTCTGTGCTTTCCTTGCCTTTAAGGTTTGGGTTGAGAAATCTGTTGTAATTCTGATGGGTTTTCCATTATAGGTGATTCGTTGCTTTTTCTCTAGCAAACTTAAGATTCTGTTGGTTATATTTCTAAGTCTTTTATTTATGTGACATGGAGTAGTTTTTTTTTTTTTCTTCTGATCATACCTATTCAGAGCTCTATATGCTTCACTTAATAGAATGATTTCTGCTGCTACTTGCAGGTAATTTATCCTGTTTATGTGTCTTCTGATTTTCCACTAATTCCAGTTACTCATATTATTCCTCATTGAGTCATTATAGGAGCTGTTGGATCTGCTCTTCATGTTCCTTTGTTGTTTTTAAGGTGTTTCTCATTAAGTGATTATTGACAGCCCTCTCCTCTAGGTCGGACACTGTTTTTACATTGGTTGCTTCTGCTAACCATACTTTTAATCATGTTTTTGGTCTTTTGGATTTCTATTTGGACCTTTCTTATGGATTCCCATTCTTTTCTATCCTAGGCATTCATATTTTGCATCTCTTTCTTTAGGTCCAAAAGCTCTTTATTGGTGTCCTTGCTATACTTGCTGATCATTTGTTTCATTAGGGTCATTATTTGGTTAAGTATATCTTCTTTACATTTGCCAATTATCTTATTAACTGTTTTACCTCCATTAGCACCCTTTCAGACCTGTCTGCTGTGTAGTTATACTTTCCTCCCTGAGGGCCCTCGGAACTGGTATTGGAGGAGTTGGAAGTTTTTGGAAGCATTTTGCTTCCTTGTCTTTTCATGTTTCTGGGTTTTTTTGTTTGTTTGTTTTTTGTGATGGGGGTTGCAAATTCTTTGGCCTAGTACCCTGTTTTTTGACAGTAAGCCACAATATGGTTTATGACCCCCTGCCAGGCTATCCAAATACTGGCATAGAGAGAAAACCAATTTCCAGCCACTACTTTGTTGCCTTGGCTATTGTAATAAATTTAGTAGCAACAATGGTATCAAATTTCAACTGGATACTGACAAATCCTAGGCACCACTTATAAATAGCCCTTAACCAAAACAAAGAGGACTGTCATTGAAGTGAAGACAACTAGACTACCCTTATGTTGACCTATAGTAGCTCAGACTACTAAGTTCTGCTGGATGTAGGTGCCACAGTAGAAACATAGCACAATATTAAATGCCTTCTTCAGACTATTACTCTCTATTACTCTATTACTGCCACCAAACCTGCCCCCCAACAGAATACAGGCCCCATGATCTTCCTGGTCTAAACCCAGACATCCCAGGAGATCCCTGTTTAACTGTAACCCTCTCTAGCCTATTTCCCAAGAATCTGTCACTGGGTCTCTGTGGTATCACTTCAGTGCTGAAGTAGAACTCTTCTCCGGGACATTGGTTTCTTCTCTGACCAGGTTGAACTGTTGGTTATCACCTCTGTTCCTTGTGCTGTGGGCAACCCACGGGCTGAGTATGGGATGTTCAGTTCTGGGTCCTCCCAACTCAGTGTGGAGCTGAGGCAGGTATCTGTTGGCTGAGGGTGGAGCACTCCGTTCCTGGGTCCTCCTTCAGGTTAGTACAGGGCCAGGTGGGCGTCTGCATTGGCTGGGGATAGGGCACTCAGCCCAATGTTTGGTCTTTGTAATTTAATTTTGCTGGTCATTTGATCTTACATTAGCTAAAGTAGTTTTATATTGCTTTATAAAGTACAGAAGTAGGTATTGAATTCAGGGCTTCACAGATGCTAAGCATGTACTGTTCCCAGACCCTATCTTGGGACTTTAGGAACTTTAACCCTAGGGATCCCATTTCATTGCTAGTGTAATTCTCTACATATGGGATACAAGTAATGTCACATCTTTGATTTTTCTGATTAGCAACTTGCGTTTTTAAATGTCTAATTTAGCAGAAAATCTTGTTACTTTCCTGTGGGAACTATCTTTTCTATACCTTTCTCCTTGAATTTCCCAAGAACCAAAGAGATTCCTTAGGCCTAAGGAAGTCAGTCCTCTTTCACAAGTCAGGTGTGATTTTGTTGTTTGAGTTACTATTAAATCTTCTCTTGCAGTGTAGTGATGATTAACTTTTACTGCCAGGTTGTCCTTACTGATCCAGATCCCTGAGTCTTCATGGTATTATACACTTAGACTTAAAAGTTGCAGCTTTTAAAAATTTTACCTTTAAGTATATTTTTATGCTCAGTTATTGTTGCTGAACTAGCAGCACTGTACTTTGGCAGCTGGACCTTCTAGCTTAGCCTCATGCATAGTGGTAAGCAGAGTTACTCTTCCCACTTACTCAGAATCCAATGTGGAGCGTACATATTAGCCTGGACCTGCATGGTAGCTTATCCTTTGAGACCTTTGCTAGTTTTCTGCCAGCAAATATGAGTTGGGAGGTAGGAGGTAGAACCACTGAGCTAAATCCCCAGCCCTCAGCAAATACGAGTCGGAATCACTGTAAAACTACTGGAGAGGTTCAGATAATGTTCCAGAAAGATCAGTGTTTCTTTTTTCCTTTGCTACTAGATCTTTACCCCAAAGCCCCTTTATATTTTATAGCACCTTTTATTTTTGGTACCGGGGATTGAACTCAGGTCCTTGCGCTTGCAAGGCAGGCCACCAAACCACTGAGCTAAATATTAAATATAGGTCCTTGCGCTTGCAAGGCAGGCCACCAAACCACTGAGCTAAATATCCCCGGCCCTATAGCACCTTTTCATAGGTTTTAAAAAGTCCCAAATCACCCTTCCCCAGAGTTGGTGCCGACTTCTGATTGGCTCCTGAAATGATCTGTTTAGTAATGAATCTTTCTACTTGTGTCTCAGCATCAAGTTTCCAGAATATTTTCAAATTCTAGCTCATAAAGAAGCCATTAAATAAAATTGTCTGAATCCACAGTTGATTTGTTAGATTTAAGAGAGTTAAGCCTAATCGTAATCAGTCTCCACGTCAGTTTTTTTCCAAGTCGGTTGGAGATGGACATGGTGATTGAACCAAACCAACAGATCTTTGATAGAATCCAAACTCTGAACAAGCTGTTGTATGTTAGAATCACACTCAGAGTTTGGTTGGATAGAAAAGGAATAGTAGTCTATTCCAGGTCTTGACATCTGTTAGTTTTTTGTCCTTGGCATGATTAGTTCAATAGTAGGGGACGATTTATATTATCCAATTTAATGAGATTTATAAATAAATTTAGTTATAAATTATTAAAAAGTTGATTTCTCATGAATTTTAAGCCACAGAGAATAGAATAGCTGCTAATCAAAATTAGGACCTAATATTTTCTGGTAATGACAATATTTGAATATTAGAATTTGTGAAAAAAATACATATTGAGTTTTATTTGAGATTCCAAAATAATTCAGCATTAAAGAACATATCACTCCATTGCTTCTCTCTGTCTGGGAGCAGGCTTTTATGTTATCCCATCAAATCTTCATAACAACCTGGTGAACTAATGTAGTAAAATCCTTATTGTTTAGAAGACTTTGAGCCTAAGAGAAATGAGTTGTCCAAAAACAAACAGCTATTGATTTCAGAGCTGGGACTTCTGAGTTCAAGAGTTTCCCTTAGGTTGAGCTAATCTAGCTAATGCATGTAACTGTCTTGGCCTCTTTGGTTCATGACCGTTTTACCTTTTTTTCTTTAATTACAGGCTTAATAAAGGTTTGTAGATCTTAAAAATTTGAAGTGTGTGGAATAAAGTTCTAATATTAGCTCTGATATTGGCTGAAATACTCTTAATAATTTTAGTGTGCTGCCGAAGCAAGCACTACTCTTAATAATTTAATGTGTTTTTATATCATTATTAAATCAGTAATTTTTTCATATAGGCACATTTTTGAATATGAAGATAAGAGACTTAAAAATTCTCAAAATAGCCATCCAGGTAAGACTTCTCATAGTGAATTACACTTGGTGGTCCTACCCTGATTTAAAGAAAAAAAAGGTAAGAGTAACACTGGGCGTGGTGGCACATGCCTATAATCCCAACACTCAGTGGCTGAGGCAAGAGGATCACCATGATTTCAAGGCCATCGTGGGCTACAATAGTGAGTTCAAAGGCAGCCTAAACTACAGAGTGGGACCCAGTCCCCCCCAAAAAAAAAACAAACAAAGTTTTGAACCTAGAAGAGCAGTTTTTAAAAAATCACTGTGTTAAACTGCATTTATATATTTTTAAAATTTCTTTCTTAATAATGTAGAATTCAGAATTATTTAAGCAGTGAATTATAAGAAATTTATATTCTAAAATATTTCATTTATTTAAAGCCTAAACTTGAAAATGTTTTTTAAATTAGCATGTCTATTTTCTGTATACTAACATTATAGTAAGCTTTTTAATTTTTTTAGTAAACATTGCGTTTAGTAAATGAATATCATTGCATGGTTGTGTCACTAAAAAGTGATTTGTGTCACTAAAAATGTTATGTCACTTCACTTTCATCAATTCTTGCCTAAGTATGTAATTTAAATTGTTCCATATATTCATATTCTTCAGTTTAGGAGATAATACCTATACTCTGTTACTTTGATCTTTAATTATCTCAAATTGTAAAGTGACCATGAGTTGGTATAATGTGGTAATAGTAGGTTCAGTGGCTATTTTTTTAATTAATACCTTTTTTTTTTTCTTTTTTGCAGTAGTTGGACCTGAACCCAGGACCTCACACATGCTAGGCAAGTGTTCTACCACTGAGCTATACTCTACTAGTAACTTTTTTAGAGCAGGTTTAAGTTCATAGAAAGACAGATACAGAGATTTCCCATTTACTCTGTGTCTCCCATGCATAGGTTGCCTCTCTCCATTGCCAGTGCCTTCCTCTAGAGGAGGATAACTTGTTACAGATAACTTGTACTGGTCCATTGTCATCTGAAGTCTGCAGTTAACATTCACTCTTAGTGTTCTGCATCCTATGAGTTTAGGCAAATGTATAATGATTGTTATTCATATTGTAGAGTCATATATAGAATAGAATAGTTTCATTGCCTTATATAGCTCCTATGTTCCATCTGGTTCAGCCTTCACATTCCCCAACATTGAAACCACTGATCTTTTCACTGTCTGGAGAGTTTTGCTTTTACTAGAATACCTACATAGTTTGAATAATACAGTGGCTATTTCTTAAATATTTAAAACAATACATTTTCAGAGTAACTGAGTGTAATCATTTAAAATGTTATTTGAACTACTTTTTTTTTTCTTTTTCTTGGGGTGTTGCTAGTGACTGAAGCCAAGGCTTTGAGCATTCCAGGCAGATGCTTTAACACTGAGCTATACCTCCAGCCTTCGTTCTTCTTTTCTTGGTTTTGTGTGTGAGTGTGTGTGTGTGTGTGTGTGTGTGTGTGTGTGTGTGTATTGTGTGTGTGTGTGTGTGTGTGTGTGTGTGTGTGTGTGTGTGTGTGTGTGCATGCATGTGAGCTGATGGCATATGCTCTACATGCTCAAAAGGCATGCTTTTTATGGAGATTCCCCATAATAAGGAGGGTTTAGAAAAATGACATCTTGCTGAATTTCACATCACTAACTAGACCATCCTGCTCTATTGGGTCCAGAGAGACCCTTGAAAGATGGAAGGCAATACTGGCAAGGGCCACACTTCACAGAATGTATCAGAGTCTTTCATACCTGCCTGGCCCTGGGAGATAAGACCAAGGAATGAAGAAAACTGTAGGAGAATCAAAATACTTTTCATTTGAGGGCTTGTATGAGAATTATATTATTATAACATGACAGACTTTCTTTATCATTATTATTATCGGTCCCCATCCCCCCAATGTTGAGGATTTAATGGTCTTGTGGATACTGTGTCAATGTTCTTACCACTGAGTCCCAGCCCCATCCCTTACTGTGAGTAGATTCTCTGTCATGGAAAGTCCAGGGCTTTTGGTTTTTTGTATTTTTCATAGTTTACATGAAATTTAAAAAATTTTTTTCTTTTACTTGACACATTCTGAGAGCTTGAGTGAGTTAATGGTTTTATTTTTATGTATTTTTTCATATAAGATAGTGCTACTTGGCAATAGGTTGTAACCTTCCCAGTGCTGGCTTTTAAGCTTTTCTGACTCTTTGAAGTGGACTGAGTCTTTGAAGGGACTGATCTTTGCAGTGGTTCTTTCCATGAGAAGTAAGATAGTAGATAAATTTGAGCCTTGCTTCCATCACACATAAGGTAGAGAAAATAGCTAGAACTAAGAGTTCATTAGCATCTTCCCTAGAAGATTAGCAAGAGTAGGTACACTGATTAATTGTGAGCTTTTCTCCACTGGGACTTGGCAGTCTCTGCAAGTATCTTTGTTTCTGATCTGTTTCCCATGTTTTGCTGTGCTGCAAATCAGAGTACTCATTATAGCTTCCTTGTGGTAGAATGCTTCCTCCTAAAACTCAGCAGTTTCAACTGAAAACTTGGAGCAAGTGTTGTATTATAACAAATAAGTGCAGTCTTACGTGATTGTTCCTAGTGCCATTAATTCAGAAACATCATTCTATTTGTTTGATACTGTCAGCTTATGCCACTGATACTGCTAATGATGCCATTTCTGTCTGATAGCATTCAGTTAGGATTGAGTACACTAATTTGCTTACTTTTAGCTATGAAATTTTGATAAATTCTATTCTTCCTTATATTTGATAATTAAAAAATAGAGTTTTTAATGCTTTACCTATAAATTGTATAATTAATATTTATCCTAGAATAGCCTACAGGTACAGTCCAAAAGAATATTTTCTAACAAATTATCAGAATGTGTAGTATATTTTTAATATTTTGTATTTTTTATTGATTCAAAATATATTTAACTTCTTCTTTAATAGTGGATGAGAGTTCTGAAGATTACTCTTTAACCAGGTAGGAATTTATAGATTTTTAAATATTATGTAAACTAATTAGTAAGTGCAGAGAAAAGAAACTAATGTTTTTCAGTGTTCTAATCCAGAATAGACAACTTTGTCCATCCTGAGCTTTTATAATCTATTTTTTACTGATAAGGGAGGAGTCATTAAGAGAGATTGATTAAATGGCCCACAATCCCATAATTAAGAAGTAGCTGATCTGTGCTTTAACTGTCAGCCTGCCTGGTTCCCAGATCCATTCACTACCATTGCCTGCAATGCTGAGATCAAGATACAGGTCATATCAGATCAATTCAGAAAGATACAGTTAGCTATGTATGAAGTGTGTTTAGTTTTCCTGAAAGGCCTGGGGAAAGTTAAAGAGTTTGTGTTATTAATGATTGAACTGATAACCATGTTTTTATCATTAGATTTTTAGGTCAGATCTGGAAGTGAAGACCATTGATACATAAATCTTGTTATATTGATTATGCTAAGCATCTATGGGGATATTTTTAATGGATTTCTTTACTTGGCTGATTCCCCAGTTTGGTTTTTCTTTCAAGCTACTGCTTTTGCCTAGTTCCATGAATTTTTTTTTTCCTTCTTAACCCCTGCTCCATGGGTATAATCTTTTCCTGACTTTTTTTTAAACTTTCTCTTCTGCTTTTCTTGAAATTTTTTTTCATTTCTGTTACCTTAGTATTTCTTACTGTTCTTTTGATTCTTGACAGAATCAAAAACATGTAGAATTTCAGGATTTTAAGGAATCTTAAAAGACCAGTCAAAATCCCTCTGATGTTTCAATCTATGTTTAACATCCTCACCAAATGGTTGTTCTCATTTAGAGTCTGAAGACCAATGACATAAAAGTGATTTATCTGAATATAGTACATGGCAAAAATGAGATTTGAACTCAAGTTCCATAATTCCTACATCTAACTGCTCTTCCTTGTTTTTTGTTCTATGAGTGTTTTAATAATAGAATAGAGGAATAGTCTAGTTTGCCCAGTGGTAGAGGATAAGAATGGAATTAACAGGGGATGGGCAGGTTTGAAAAACAACAACATTAGGTTGGACAGGAGTAAGGTTTTAGAAAAGAAATCAGAATATTGTGGATTATCACAAGCTTGATAAAAATGACACAGGAATTAAGGACCCAAGATGTTGAAAGTTATCTAGAAAGGCATATTAAAATTGGGGGTTAAAGGGAATCCTCAACAGATTGTTGCTTTTTGTTTAGTTGGAGGAACTGACAGATTGGAGATTTCTATTGAAATATGTTAGGGTAATTTGAGCCACCAGGAAGTATCTATGTACCAAATTGGAATGTACCATCACCACCTTCCTCCTCAGTTTACAGAGGGCAGCTTAGGGCCCTTAACTCTCCTAGGGGACTGGAAGTAGCTGAACTTCATGGGTCGATGGTCCAGGACAGTTATATCTCACCTCCACCTCTTTTCTCAACTTGCTGATGTCTTTCTGTATGTGTAGGGTAGGGCTGGGGTAGGATTGACTGGGAGGTAGTTGCGGAGCTTCAGTTGATAGTTGGTAATATGCCTTCATTGAGGCTGATGACTGTGACTTCGAGATGTAGCTTTCTTTCTAGGTGCAAGAAAATAGATAAATCTACTGTTCATTATTTAAGCCCATCCTTGTCGCAAGAATCTGTGTCTCAATAGACTGAAGATTTAAGTGGAGACTGCCATGAAGCCCTGCAAAGAGTAACCAGGGACAAGGAGCACTTAGAGTTTTTGTTTTGTTTTGTTTTTTACTTAGAGGTTTTTTAGATTGAGTTTAGAGTAACAGGTGTGGCTACCAGGGCCCTTTTACAGCCAGCTCCCTCTTGACTGTCAGAATGTCTATGAAAGTTTTGCTACTTTATGGGTACCTTAGTAAGGCAGAACCACACAGAAAAGATAACTGGATTTTATAATTTTAATAGATTGATCTATCCCAGGGAAATTTATCTATCTATTGATTTGATTGTTCTACATTTAGCTTTCAAAAATGTTTGAAGTTTCGGAGATCTCCCTGTACTGTTTTAGGGTAAAGAGAAGTAATAGAGTTGTCTTAGTAAGTGGTTTCCATACTAAAAAACAAAGACTGCCATTTCTGAGATACGCAGTGTTAGTCACTTTCAGTTATTTTCCCATCGATGGGACAAAACACCCAACACCCACAGCTTAAAGGAGGAAACGTTTATTTTGATTCAGTTAGCTCGCCTCAAGGCAGAAACAGCACAGCAGCGAGGCTTGGTGGAGGAAAGCTGCTTATTCCATAGCAGGAAACAGTGAGAGGACAGAAGAGCCAGGCACAGGAATATACCCTTCCCGTTCCTGGCCCAGTGACCTGTCTCCAGCCAGGCCCCACCTCCTGAGAGCACATTCAGCTACTGAACTTGCAGATCGATGAGTGACCTGATGAGTATAGCATTTTCATAATCCAAACACCTACACAGAAGAATTGCAGCAGATATTTCCCATCTAAATCATCACTTTCAGCTTAGTCGCTGGAACAGGGATAGGCTATGGAAAGGGAACAGTATATCTTTCTACTTTAAGGTTAACAGGTTCGCTTCAGTCCAGGTAACAAAACTAATGTCAGCCATTGGTTGGATTTTCAGTTCAGCCTTCAGGCCAGGCAATTTGTAAAGACAAATTATTTTCAGGCCCTGCTAGTTTGTTGGCTGTCTCTCTCTGATGTGGGAATGAAAATGAGTCTTCATTGACCATTTCATAAATTGGAAGGAGACAGAAAACAGTAACTAAAAGCTTTATATTTTTAAAAACAGGTGAAATTTTAATTGTATCAACCAAGAAACATCATTCAGATAGCCAATCTTCATAGTTTTTAAGGACAAACTTCACCTGCTTTTGTTTTTATTTTCACCTTAAAGGTTTTCAAACAAACCTGGTTCTGACTCCTGGCCTACATCAGATGATGATGACTATAATTTTGATAACAAGGTAAAGTGCTCTTTTGTGATATTAATTTTCTTCCTCTCAGTTTTGCTTTGTATATTGCTTAGTCTTCAAATTTATCAATAGTGTACCTACCATGGTGTTATATGAAAGTTTTTTTTCCTTTTTCCCTTGGTAAATAACTGGTATGTACTCCAAAGTACTGGGGACTGAAAAACTAATGGGTTAGAAAATACATAATAACAGGAAAATTGTATTTGGCAAAGCTTTCTCACAATAGTAGAAATACCAAATTTGGTCAGGGATTATTTGGATAACTGTACCTTACTGTGACTTCTAAATCATACTGCCATGACTTTTATAATACTCATGGCTAAATAAACCTTAAAATGGATCCCATTAGTATTTATAATTATCATGGAATTTTGGTGCCTTTATTTTCAAAACTTTGTAGCACATAAAATATACTTTTTCTTTTAAGTACTTTTTATTTTAGTATCATACAATTTTTAGGAGATCTTTTTTATATTCTTGGTTCTGTTTTTAGACTAAAATAATACTAAAATTTTTTAAACGTAGAAATTTTAAATCTGTTTCTTCAAATTTGTATTACTAAAAAATTAGGGTATTTTTCTGTAGTTATTTTGCTTCTGGGAGTGGATCATAGGGCTTTTGCAATAAGCTACATCCTCAGTCCCTGATCTCTCTCTCTCTCTCTCTCTCTCTCTCTCTCTTTCTCTCTCTCTCTCTCTCTCTCTGTCTGTCTTAGTCAAGGTCTCACAAAATTACCCAAGCTGGGCTGGAACTTGGTGTCCTTTTGCATCACTTCCTGAGTACTAGGATTAATGTGTCACCACATCTGACTGCACTGTGTTTTCTAAGTCATTCTTTCATTAAGAGGGCACTGTATTTAAAATTCTTCATCTGACTGAAGAATACATATTTTACCCAAAATACTAATCAGTTCTAGGACTAGATACTCTCAATAACCATATGGTAAAGCTTTAAGAAATATTTTTGCTTAATAGTTTTTAAAAATTCCTAATCAGTCCTTGTATCTCAGTCTAACATTTCAAGTTTTGGGAGTTTTTGTACTTCAAAATATTCATTTTGAAGCTCTTGCATTACTGTGAGCTACTAGAGATTAGGAATTATGTTTGTGCATATTCTGAAAACTTGGAATATGGTATTTTGTATTAAGACGCAATTTTTATTGGCTTTTTTTTTATTGTACTGGGGATCAAACTGAGGACCTTGTGCTTATGAGGCAGTCATGGTGCCACTGAGGTAAATCCCAGACCCAAGAAGTGGTATTTTTTAATGTCAATAAATGGATTTCTACAGAATAGAATTGTACAAGTAGTGTATATATTTTACAAGTAATAGCATGATTTTTATAATAGTTACTCCATGTTCTACTAAATATGTCTTTTCAAAATAAACATTTCTCTTTAGAATTCTGATTAGCAGTTCTTTTTCTAAATGGAAAATTGGTGGAACATTTTGTTTTTTCTTGTGTTAATGCTACATTTTTCAGGTAGTGGTAGAAGGCATGTTTAATTGAATTATGTTATAGTTATTGAATAAGTATTTTAGTATTTATAAAAATTATAATATACAGGGGCCCGGGATTTAGCTCAGTGGTTCGGAGGCCTGCCTTGCAAGCGCAAGGACCCGAGTTCAATCCCCGGTACTAAAAAAAAAACAAAAGAAAATTATAATATACAAACGTAATTTTTTAAAAGACTGAGCAAAAGTCTAGTTCTTTATGTACTTTATTATTAATATTTTTCCTTTTCTTGGTTTAAATTTATATTCGGTTGTCTGACCATCTACCCCTTCTCTCTTCTCCTCCCACCCATGTGTCTGTGTGTGCATGTGTGTGCGTCTGTGTGTCCTTGTGTGTCCTTTCTTTCCTCTTTTAAATGATTTACCTCTGACCCTGTTTTTCTTTGCAGAAAACATCTATGCAGTATCCTTTCAGTCCACCTTCATGTTCATGACATTTATTTACATCTTTCTGTTTCGTGATTGTGTAGCTTTTGTTTATCAATCACTGCTCCACAGGATTTATTCTTGTCATATTTTTCTGTCTGTCTTTCTTGGAAGGAGCTGAATCGATATAATCATTTGTCATTACCTATTTGACATACAGAATAGAAGCAATTTATACTAGTCATAATTCTAAACTATCAAATAAGATATTACTGAAAACTCAACTCTTAATTGTTCTCCTCATGAAGTAATTCATGCAACTATAAATCATGTGAATAAATTCAAAATATAACAAAAAATGAATTTTTTTCATAAAATGTTGGTTTTTTTCAAAGTACTCTAAACTGCAGAGGGGTAAAATATTAGTTTTTGGTTATTTTAGTCAAGAAAATAGTCTACTAAATGTTCTAGTATGGGGAGTAACATTTTGGGCTATCTCTGTCATCTTTCATAAACATCACCCCATGAAGAAGATGGAGATTAGTAAATGGTAGATTGGGGGTTGAATCTACATCTGAATAATTCTAAAACCTGGTCTCTTAATGTTAAATCATGTAGTAAGGGTGAATATTATTTTATTAGATTTGATACTTCCGATTCTTGAAGCTATTATTTTTTTTTCTAGAATGTCCCCAAAATAAACATAACTGAGCTATGGGCTGCTGCTCAACAATCCAGGAAAAATCGTAAGCTAAAAGATGGCCTACTCCTATGTTATTCATGGATTTGAAGTTGCTGATATTTTTATGTACAATTTAATTTGTTTTTATTGTCATAGAAACAAAATATGGCATTGGGGAAGCAGGAAACAGAACCTTGCTTAAGGACAATATTTCTGTTAGTAAAAACAAAGATGTGGTTGAAACCCTTCCTAAAACATCAATCAACGTCCAGAACTTTTCTCAGTCTTCCTTTATATCACCATCACCTGACACAAAAGTAAGACCTCTTTTTAAATACTTTTCCCCATGCTTTTAGTCACATTTGACTCTAGAAAGAAATATAGGGCCATAAGATCATAATAGAAAACAAGTATAATAAGAGATATTTATGTACAGAATTGAGATTTATAAAAGTTGGTGGGAGTAAAATGTTCTTAGGTATGACATTTTAGAAGGAAAGAATTACAAAACAATAAAAATGAATATGAAGGTGATATTGAATGAGAACACTCATTTACAAAGCAAGATAAGACTTCATAATAAGATTAAGAGTCAATCAAATATTATAAAAACAAGACTCAGAGTAGAAGCTCTATTATATATTAGAAATTACTTTTAAATTACCTGTAATTGATTATAAAGAACTAAAAATGTGATCTTAATTTTTGCTAAATTCAATAAAGTGATTATCTGTTATTTAATCCTGCAAATCTTATATTCATAGATTATAGAGAACATTGTCATTGGGCCGCGATCTCCTGTGAGACAAATACATTATCTGCAAGATAGGAAACAGAGAGAAAACAAAGGACCCATACCCAGAGACTTGAGAGAAAAAGATGGGTCTCAGGCTGATCTAAGCTGCCTTGGGCAGCAAAGACCAAAGGCACCAAGAACATCCAGTGTTCATTCATTAGAGTGGGAAGGAGGGGAACTGGGCAGGCCTCAGGACACCTGCTGATGACACGCATGGCAGGCAGGGGCACTAGCATATCTTTAGTGAAGAGGACAAATGGTTAATTTAGGGAGGAAGAATTTAATTGGAGTCAGTTGACCTTGGCTGGAAGTAAACTCATAGAAGCCCTGCTACTTGTACTATTCTTTTCTGCTCCTCCCTCCCCCATTATCTCTTCTACGTTACACTGCTGCCAAGGTTGCCTTTTCTAAAGAATATTGGATCCCCATTACACAGAGGGCAAGGTTCACATTCTAGCCTGAGACAAGTATTGTGTGGTTGGCCCCTGATGCTCCCGTCTTATCTGTCCATGCCATTTGAGGAACTGTATTACAGTTTTGTCCTATTACTTGGACATCCCTCACTTGTGTGTTGTTTCATGCCTCATTCTTTTGTTTATGCTGCCCAGTCTGGAATGTTCTTCATACCCTCCTGCCCACTTCCTCTCCCTTTCAAAATAGGACCAAAGGTGTGTGGCTTTTCCTGAGCTTCCTGGGTAGACCTGACTTCCTTGATTTGGACCGCAGTTGTAGAACCAATGAAATACCTTTTCTGTTCTTGTTTTCATATATCTCTGCACCTGCTTGCACATAGCGCAGAATGTATTTTCAGTTCTCACTTCTCTAGAGCAACCCGTATGATTTGATTCTTACTGACTGACTGGGTGGGTGAGCAAATATCTAAGTGTGTGTTTTTGTTTTGCTTTTTTGTGTTTTTGATGTTTCATTTTATATATATATATATATATATAGGAAGAAGCAACAGAGTCAGAAATTAGAAAAGAAGAAAATGGTACTTGTGTTATTAAAAATGCTTCACAAGAGCAAACAAATGACAGTTTGACTCAGGTGGATGCAGGGCGCAAAAAGTATAAAAGTGGTAAGTTAGTGAATAGTTCTGAATTTTTTTTTTTGTTTAGATACTATTATTTTTAAATGTGTGTACATCAAAAAAGATACCTATTTCTTTAAAAATTTTTCTTTTCTTATTTTCATTCCAACAACTTCTTCCAGAAGCTGCTTCAACCCTCAGAAATTCTTTCTTACTGTTATTTTTATCTTATAGAATCATTCATGAAGATAGATTTGTACATATATTTAAAATTCACAGAAGTAAATGCTCTGATTAATGTGTCTGTGGCTACATTTTATAGATATGATGTTTGCACTGGGATTAGGAGAAGATGATGAATCACCTTGGGATTCTGAGGTATTGTCTATTTATATATCTATATCTATCTATATATATATATTTTTTTCTTTTTTTTGGTACTGGGGATGGAACTCAGGTCCTTGCATTTGCAAGGCAGGCGGCAGAACCACTGAGCTAAATCCTAAGCATTAAGTGAGATTTAAATATAAAGGAGGTTAATTTGACTTTACTTTCTCACCTGTGCATATACCTATAAGAAATTATTTCCTCACATTTTTTAACGCATAGTTAATAAAGTAATCTCTCAGGCAAGATGACACATATCTATAATTCCAGTACTCTGGGAGGCTGAAGGAAGAGGATCACAATTTCCAACCCTGGATAATCTAGCAATTTAGTGAGACTTCGTTTCAAAAACTAAAAAAGACTAGGATTATATCTCAGTAGGAAGATCTGGGTTTAATTCCTCGCCCTACAGATGAAGGAATGAATGAAGTCTAAGTACATTACTGCTGCATTGTACATTTCTGCTCATTTGTAGGACTCATTTAATGAAGCCAGTGCAGTTAAAAATTAAGGCTTAGAATGGCTGCTATCAAGAAATCACACAATAACAAATGTTGGCGGGGTTGTGGGGAGAAAGGAACCCTCCTCCATTGTTGGTGGGAGTGCAGACTAGTGCAACCACTATGGAAATCAATATGGAGATACCTCAAAGAGCTTGGACTGGAGGTGCCATTTGACCCAGCCATCCCTCTGTTGGGTATCTTTCCAAGAGAACTAAAAGAATCATATCACAGAGAAGTATGCGCACCCATGTTTATAGCGGCACAGTTTGTAATAGCTAAATCTTGGAAACAACCTATTTGCCCATCAGTTGGAAACTGGATAAAGAAGTTGTGGTTTTTCTATAAAATGGAATATTACTCAGCCATAAAGAGCGAGAGAATAGATTCATTCATAGGAAAATGGATACATATTGAAGATATACTCCTAAGTGAAATAAATAAGTCCCACATGTGTAAATACCAAATAGTTTCCCTGGTGTGAATATTCTGCAACAATGCATAAGATTCTAATAAGATTACTGACATTTAGAAATGGGAGGAAAGGAGCTAAAGGTGTAGGGAAGGTGTGATACGTAGGGGAAGAACAAAAAGGGAAAAGAAAAAAATGTGAGAGAATGAAAAGATGAAAATAAAGTGTTTGTAGATGGGGAGGGGAGGAGGGGGTGAAGGGAGGGCAGAGGTAAGGGGAAAAAATGAGAATCAAGACTTGCCATGTAAAGGTACATGATCCCACCAATGAATGTAACTGTACTGTATCCCTAAATGTACCAATAAACTCAATAAAAAAAAAATAAAAAAAAATTAAGGCTTAGATGTTACAAGCAATCAGCTTGGATTCTGAAATTAAGTTGATCTAAAAACTAAAGAATTCTTCTAGATCAGCCTCTATGGCCAGTGAAATTCAGAGAAAATATTTAGATCATAATTTTTACAGCTTGTAACTTGGAAACTTAATGAACTGAAAGTATTATTGTATTTGGATTGCCAACTATTATGGTTTGGGTCTGGATTTCCCTCAAAACCCTCATTCAGTTAGAGGTAGGTGAATCTGGAATGTATGATGTTGGGATTACAGCTATGTGATTACCTAAAGCACTACACATGAGTGACTAGCACTGCCCTAATCCCGGTAGTTTGAATGGAATAAAAGAGTCAGAAGATGGGGTAAAGGTTCCTTGTTGCCTTTGTTACCTTGTGGCTTCCCCATTGTTTCTCTTTGGTGATGCCTGTTTGTCACCCCTGCCTTGGAGCCAGCCAACTATGGATTGCGACCTCTACAGACTGTGAGTCAAATAAACCCTTTCCCCCTCTAACTTTGGGTGTTGGGTATTTTGTCTCAACAAGGAGAGAAAAATAACCCAACAAGTATAGATCTGCAAGGAACAATTCAGGAGAAGGAAGAGATTGAGGAGTCGTAAATACATGACATTATAATCACCGTTTGGTTTTGTTATGTTTTAAAAAGCAGAAACCAATTTTGAATGTGGAATGTATTGAGTACCCCCTTTATGGCAGCCACTCCCGTAGAGAGGACATTTGTAAGAAAGGCCTGATATCTTAGGTAGAAACAGCTGCTGCATTGCCTGGGAATGCTAGAAAACTCTGAGAGGGTTTGTAGTTAAGATGGGAAAGAGAATGAACTGCTACCTAATTAAGGATGAGAAGAAGACAGTCATGTCAAAGTGTAAGAGGACATTCTGGACAGAGAGAGCAGTCCACATCTGTCCATCTTTTTAATATCCTAGAGTGTCCAGGAAGCAGGAAGTACAACTTTCATCATAATCACTTCTAGTTTTATAACGTATAGAAAATAAAATGTATAAATAAGCACTTGGAACCTTTTAGAAATGTAATAAAAGTTCTTATGCTGCCCTAGTAAGGCTTTTTATACTTTCTTAAAGTTCTTAATTTGGAAATAGTTGCATACAGTGTCTAATATTTGTGTACTGTTATTTCAATGTAACAAAAAATTAATGGTATATTTTTATTTTTAGCCATTTTTCCTATCAATAAAAATTTTACCAAAAGCATTACATTTTTTTCCCTAAGCCCTTGTTTACATAAATGAATCAGCTTTTACTATGTTGTTTGTGAGACACTGAAGTTTCTTAGCTTGCCAAGTATTTTAACACTAAAATGACTTCTGTGATTAGAAATATTAAATGCTGAATTATAGCAAGTGTACTTACAAGAATCTGTTTAATCAGCAAAGGGAAAGGGACCATAGGGGGTGAAGGAACAAAGGTGATCAATAAATGATAACATATGTACCAGTTCCCCAAAACAAATGTAATTATTATATATCACAAACATTCACACACAAAAACATCTTATAGTTTAAAAATATTTCATGTATATCTGTATTTTTAAATAATGTTATTTTGGGCTGGGATTTAGCTCAGTGGTGTACCACCTGCCTTGTAAGCACAAGGGCCCACGTTTGATCTCCATTACCAAAAAAAAAATAAATAAATAAATAATAATAATTATCCTTGTTGGGGAATGCAAAGTATAGTTAGGTATTCTGAAGCCAGATTGAAATAATGCACATCAGATAGTATTTTGTCTATGAATCTCTCCTGTGGCATGCTTTACAACATCAGCACCCATGTGGAGATACAAAGTGGGCATGACATAAGGTTGTCTTTGAAATGTTCTGGTTTTTAGTATGTGCTTCCCATTATTAAATCTAACTGATTTTGGGGGGTTTTTTGAGACAGTGTCTCACTATGTAGTTCAGGATGGTCTTAAACTTATGGCAGTCCTCCTGTCTCAGCCTCCTAACACTGTGATTATAAGTGGGCACCACCATTCCTGGCTCTGATTGTTTTTAAGATAGAAAAATGAGGTATCTTCATAGAAAATGATTAGGAAATCTTTATTCAACTCATTACTGATGTACTATTTTTAATAGAGTCTCTCTGAGAATCTTCCACAGAAGTCTGTTGATCATTTATCTGGACCTGCAGATAAAAAAGGAAAACATAGAGGAAACAGACAAGTAGAAGGTAAGAAATATATATAAATATATATATTTTTAGAAAAGTCATTGACAGTGTTTTTTTTTAATCCAAAGTATTGCTATATTCTAATAGCTGAAGAAAATTACCTATTAAGTACATAGTAAGGAAAAAGAGAAGTAAAGTAGTTATAAGTTACATATATCAACTTTCAGCAACAGGTTGAATTTGAGAGTTGCTAAAGGAGCTGAATTATTAATTCTATTCAAGCTATGATAAGGTCTGAGAGAATTTGGAAAACATAAAGAGGAGAGAAAGGAGTGAAGAATAAGAAAGAAGAATAATGCAAGGAGTAAATGAAGGAAAAACAATAAAGTATGGGGGTAGAAAAATAATGTACTTCTTTAGAAAAAGGAAGAGCAAGGTATGAGAAGTGGAACAAGAATATAAAATGAGCTTTCAGTACCAAATCTTGATGGAGAAATAGAGCAGAATTTTCCACTTTTCTTATCCTCTCATCATTGGGAATGCATTGAGGATTGAAGTACTATATTATGCAGAGCTGTGTTTTATTTATTACAGATAAATATAAACATACATGATCAGCCACACATTTGCTTTCAGTGGTACCTTGTTTCATGAAGGTACTATTCTGGTTACAGAATTTCTTATAAAATGTTGCAACTTTTAAAAGATGCTATTTCCCAAGGTAGTATATCCAGAATAAGAGCACTGAAAAAAAGAAAGGAATAAGATTCATTATGGAGAGGTCAGGGAAATTATGGTCCATTAAAAAATCCATTGGAAAGCTTATGACTTACACTTTTTATTTGAGGGATATGATGAGGAGGAACCATGCTAGATTACAAAAAATAAGTTTAGGTAAGGGGATTTGGTAAAGGCTTTGTATATAGTGTATAGGCTAGAGCTTTTCAACTGTAATGAAACCCCTTGTTGGGGACTGTGTTAAACCATTCCTCTGATTCAACAGGCCTCGGGTCCTCTGTTTCTAGTAAGTCCTCAAGTGATGCCAATGCTGCTTGTCCTCAGACCACCAGGAATGGCCGGGTATCAACTTCCCTTCAGAGAAATCTGAATAAAGAGCTTATTGGATAATAGTTCAAGACAAAAGAGGGCCGAGGGAAAGCATAAATTCTGTTTTTATTTCTGAAAATGTTTCTAGCCACAGGAAAAGGAGCAGAGGATGAAGAAATAGAAATTAGAATCCTATGATACCACTGCCAAATAAGGAAATAGTAGGAATAATCCATAAAAAGGAGTAAATGCAGCTAAAACTAGAGAGACTTATAAGAAAGTATCAGGCTTATAGATAACCTCTATCAATGAAAGAATCCAAGTCCAGCAGGTTCAATCACTGTTTCAATTTATGAGTGTGACATTCTCCCCAACCTGCCTTATCATTCCAGTGTGCTCATGCTTAGATTATGCATACTCTAACTTCTTACATGTTTTGTTTTTTCTTGCCTAAAGGCTGCCAAACTCCAAGAGGTCATACAAGTGGAACCAGTGACAAATGTGCTAGACTTCTTTTACTGGGATCCACTAGATCGACCTTATAAACAGCTCATAACTGCTAAACTATACTACTTCTGTGTTGGTTTCTGAAGTCCCTTGGACCTTATCTTTATCCTCTTTGTGGGCTATATTCATAGTAATCCTGCTGACCTTATAATTTATACCATGAATTCTTAAATGTTTCTTTGGCTTTTTCCCTTCAGACTTAAAAGCTATGTAGCTCCCACGATGACAATTTCTGGCATCTATTGAAGGCCTTTAGATAGACCCTCTGTAGAGTAACTCTAACTGCTGATCACAAGTAGGACCCTTTTCAGGTGGAAGTAGCCAGAGCTGTCTTTGCCCTTTGCCTCCTCACAGCACTTAGGGGTACTTTTTCAGAGTAGGGAGCATTGCAGATAAATAAGTTAATTAGATATCTTATAGGTAGTTAGATAGGGCCTCCCTCAAGGAGCCAGCCCTCAAGGAGCCAACACAGCAGGGAGCCAACATGGAGGACAATAAAGCCAGGTTCACTGTGACCAGAATTGTAAAAAGAGAGAAACTACTATACCCTTGTGCTTCCCCTAGGGATAAATAGCAGTAATTGATATTCTAAATAGGTATCAATCACCTGGGTGGGGGGCCAAGGTTTTAACCCAGCCTTTCCAGCTAATATCTCTGATCCCCACCCTTATTGAAAATCCTTGTATACTTTCTACATGATTTACTCCCTCATTTGAGCCCCCCCCATTTAATTACTATTACCTGGGTGACTGTACTAATCTTATTGTTTGGTCATGATTTTGCCCCACCTTTTAAGTTTCCATTGGGTCTTATAGTTTTGTTCCACTTTGTACCCACCTTACCACATGACTTTGCTGTATAAAACAGCTTGGAGAAGTGAGGTAAGTGGGCAACCCACTTTCTGGTCCCCCTTCTATCTCTGTATACAGAAGCTGTCTCTTTTAGACAGAAGCTTTCTTTCCCTCAGATTTTTCCTACTCTTAAAAAAAAAGGAATAAATGAACAGAATGAAGACCATAAATCTAGATATCACTTTTGAAAGGAAGAGGGATTATTTAGTGGAAAGAAGAAAGGAAAGAAGGAAACTAGATAGGTAACTTTGGAGTTAACAATGAGGAAGAGAACTCAGTTCCTGTGGTCTCGCTGTATGTTCATTCACACATTGGAAGAATAGCTTATTGCTGTTCCAGAGATGATTAGGAGAAGGGAGGAGTACTAGAATTAGGTTGAACTGTAGCCACTCACCTCCTCTCCTTATGTCACTATCAGGCATCAAAGTTTTATGCTTAATTGATAACTGGTTATTCACATGAGAGATTAACTTGCATATAGAAGGGCTGACTTTTTTAAAAGATAGCTAAATTTTTGATACAATAAAAGATACTCACACAAATCCTTTAAAGACTAACATAATGTACCAAACCAGTTTTGAAAATGAGAGACATCATGAGTTCATTCCTTGAATACCAAAATTGTTACTTTTTAGTAAATATCACACTGATTTTGAAATATAAAAGGTAATTAGTATCAAATAATTCTATGACAATTCAGCTTATCTTTTCCTTTTCGAAACTTATTGTGCATTATTTCTTAGATGTGATTTATATACCTTCTTGCATAAATGGATCAAGAAACTTTAAGATCGCTAAACTGGAGGATACAGGAAATGTAGGCATACCAGTAGCCCACAAGGGTATGAAAAAAAAAATCAACATTTTTATTAACTATTATTCTACAAGTATATGTCCAAGCTATTCAATTCAGAATAATTATTTGATGAGAGGAATGATATATTCCGCTGAACTGTTACCACAACTTTGTCCTTTCTGACAAATTCTGACAATTTCAGGACAAATTGAAGAACACAATTAAATACTTGTAGTGTAATGGTATACCATCAGCTTTGACGTCCATCCTCTCAGGGTCATGACTTGCTGAGATCACTTTCTCCATCAGTCGGCATGTATATGCACATTGGTATATGCTCACTTTTCTGTTTTAGTTATGGCCTTTGGAAGCATAATCTCATTTTGGAAATCTTAACAGCATGTATTATTAGACCTGTATTATGATTTTTCCGTCATATTGTCCTAACGAATGGGGGAGAAAACCCAAAACCTAAAGTAATTGCTGCTAAAGCAGAGCATGAGGATTCAGCTCCATGCTAACTCTGCATGAATGTGTGTTTGGCTTTCTCATATTTACACATAATTGATTATGTTTCCCTTTTGCTTTTCAGAATCAGCTGAGGAATGTCTTCACTTGAAGGTAATAACTTTGTATCTTGAATTGACTAAGTGCTTCTTGAAATACATAGTATTTATTAAATATCTCACTTCAAACCCCATTCAGCCTGCCATTGAAAGGAAAAGTACTGTTCTGAATAAAGCAGTAGCAATGGAGGATTTATGGACATGCAACTCAGGTAAATTCTGCAGTACAGATCACTCTGGAAAGTACAGTACATTAAAATGTTTGAGATGTGCACAGTCTTCTCATTATGTTTTTCCCATATTTTTGGATGGATTTGACATAAGTAATTCAGATGTGATGTTGATGTCCATATTTACAGTTAAGGTGTTTACAAGCATAAGAGAAAAAAAAATTTAATGTGTTAAGATATTTCTACTTACGTTTTAATACCCTAATGTTCCCATCTTGGATCCTTAATCATGTCATCATGTCTGTAGTAACAAATCTTGCAACATAATAGATTACGAGTCATCTCCTGCTGTAGTGACTACAAGCTGTACCATCCAAAGTTATCTACCCATACAAGTGACTTTTTTTGCTCCTCCTCCTCTCTTTGCCTTCCTCTTCACCTCCCTCCTCTCTGCTGCTGAGGATTAAACTCAAGTAAATTCAGAGCCTTGCATATACCAGAAGTTTTTCTGGAAACAGTTTGTGGAATCTTTTAAGAGGTTCAGGCCTGCACTAGGTTTATTTGGCACAGTTTCCTTCCATTAATCTCCCTCGCTTTATTCATATGGCACACTCATCCTCATCACTTTTTAGAGTGATTGATCTCTGAAACAAACCTGACCATAAACCACTCTTCAAAGCATTAGTGTCCAGGCATCTTAAAGTTACCTATAGACTTTCATGATCTGACTTCTAATTTGTCTTCAGTCCTTTGTCTGCCCTCATGAATACTCTGGCTTTACTAACAGCTAGTGATATTTTCCTTTGCACTCTTATTTTTAGACAAGTACCACCTGTATTTCATACTTTCTTTCTCTTTTGATACTGCCTTTTATGCTCTCAGTTTCCTGCCCTCTGTCTGGCCAACCTCACTGTAATTCTGAGCTCAGGAGTTAGCTCTAGAAAAGCATACCTTTTATTTATACTCTTTAAACCCCACTGCCTAGCACTTAGCAAGAATTCAATAAATATTGATTAAGATGAAGGAAAGCTGTGTATACAAAGATGATTTTAAAGATTGTTCCACCCATTCCAGGAGCAAAATGGTTAACAAAGAAATAAGTTTGTAGTTTAGGTGGTAAAGATACAGAAGAAACATTGATAAAAGTACCAAAGAAAAGGACACTTATGTACCTCTGGAAAAAAAATCACAAGGAAAACTAACATAACAGACTAGTCATTAAAAAAAGATTTTTAAAAAGTTGCTTATAGAGTGAAGACATCTCAGATAAATGGGTATTCACTCATAAAGGTGTAAAAAGTAACAGTAGTATTAGAGATAACACACTGGGTTATTTAAAAATAGTTATGAGGTAAAGAATAGTATGTAGTGTGTGTGTGTTTCTGTGGAATTTTAAATGTTTCTGAGTGTTCATCAGCTAAGTTGATGAATTCATGATGAATCTTTTAAGAGATCTATATGTGTTCAATGCAGTGTCATGTAATGTCTTTCCAAATGATTTGTTAATTTGGGGATAATTAAAAGTGTTTTTAAAGTATTCATCCAAAAGTTAGGGTGAATTCAAATTCTTACCTGGGAAAATAAGAATATATTTGTATTATTAATTTTTTTCTATTTTATACTCTCACTTTTTATCTATTAAGTAGCTTATTTTACCTTTATATATACATTTTTCAGAAGAACCAGAGGAAGAGCAAAAAAGGCTTGATGGCTGTGAAAATAGCCATGAACAGGTGGGTAAAAATTTAAATTTATATTTCTGGTTTAATTGTTTAATTTGCTTTAATAAGGTAGTTTAGACCAAATGAAATTACTTTTTTGACTAGTCTTTAGAAGCAATAAATCACAATTTAATATTTAATTTTTTAAATATTTTAGCTAATCATAGACAAGCTATTCTTAGAATATGTAGTAACTTATAGCTAAATTTTAGAATTGAGCCACAATTTTATTTCCTGAAAAATGTCTGTGCTTCCTTCTGTATAATATCCAATGTTAGAAACAATGTAGGTATGACAACATTGAGTTGGATGGTGTTTAACAGTGATTATCCCTCAAGGCTCAACATTAGAGTTTCATGTTACCAATCGCTATGTTAAAGATTCAGTTCCTCCTTAACAGATTCATTGTTTACATTGAGAGATCAGAAAATCACCCAGCTACCTAGTAAGAGAATCATACCTTCCAAAATAAGAGTTTTGGTATTACAATACAAATAATAGCTTTCTTATTTCATTTCAATATGAGAAATTGGTAACTATTACTAAAATGTTTTCATTCACTGTCTTTAGTGTAAATTAGAATATGTTACAACTGGATTTAACAGAGGTAGTTCATATAGATGCATAACACTTGCAGACACTGTCATGGTGTATAATTTGAATCATTCTTATGGTGATTTGGTCTCTTGGTAATTTATAGGTCATGTATACTCGTTACTAATCTTTAGAAAAAAGACTAATGTACTCTTAGGGTTCATTATGTAAAGAATGGTAAGGTAAAATATTTGAGAAAAGCTTTATAACATTAAGCATCCTCTAATTTATTTTTGGTAAATTTAGCACATACTTGAGTCCCCACAAACATGGACAAAGTTAAGTTTCTTGGATCATGTTTTTCTCTTGTTTTAGGGAAAGGTATATTATTTTTCATTTCTTCGTTAGAATCCATTGAACAAGAAGTATGTGAAGACATCAAACTGACTAAATTTTAATTTTCTAGTTTTCCTTTTTTCCAAACCTTTTGATTATTATTAATAAGATTATTTTAAAAATACACACCCCTAAAGAAAAGACATCTGAGAATCCAACCAAGGAAACTGATGTTCCACTTTCACATCTGCAAAAAGTGTCTCAAGAACCAAAAAGAAGTATAGATGGTGATAGAGGGGATGTGTCTTCACACTTGCGACCTTCGTGTGTGAAAAAGCATGAGGAAATATTGATCTTAAAAGACAGCTTAGAGCAGAAAAATAATGTACAACTCATGCCTAATTATTTAAAGGAGAGGATGGGTGAAATCTGTGAAAAATAAAAATTTGCTTTGTCCTGAGCAAGAGCCACCATTTGAAAACTCAAAAGGTGAAACACATTTTCTTATTAGTAATGTTTATGATATATAATAAATACATGCATCTTGGGGAGTTGGTACAGGTACATATTGCATGAATCCTAGTCCTTTATGCTTCCCCTTACCCTCTTCTTTCTTAAATCCATTTAGATTTCTATTTGCATAAGATCTATCTCCTTGTATCCTATAATCTTTTATTTTGCTCTTTGAATTATTTATACTTTCAATTTCCCATATAAGAGAAACCATCTGATGTGTGAAGCTTCTGTGACTGATTTATTTCACTAGCATTAGGGTCTCAAACTACATCCATTTCCTACAAATAACTAAAATTTATCCTTCTGTATATTTTAGTAGTACTCCAACGAATATGAATATATATGAATATATATATCTATATATATATCTCACATTTTCTTTATCCATTCATCTGTTGATGGACATATAGGCCAATTCCAAGATTTAGCTTTTATGGATTTTCCTGCTATTAATAATGGGTATGTGTGTACTGTTGCAGTATGATGTCTTTAACTCTTTGGGGAAGATACTTAGAGAATAGCTAGATTGAATGGAATTTCTAATTTTACTGTACTGAGGGATCTCCATAGTGATTTTTTTTCTTTTTATTGAGTTTATTGGTACAATCTAGGTATACAATACAGTTACATTCATTACGGGGATCTTGTACCTTCACATGATAGGTCATGGTTCTCATTTTTTTCCCCTTGTCCCTGCCCTCCCTTCACCCCCTCCTCCCCTCCCCATTTTCAAAACCTTATTTCCATTTTTTCATTTTCTCCTATTTTTTTCCCTTATTCCCTTTCCCCTACCCTTCCCACTTTTCCTACACCTTTAGCCCTTTTCTTCTTATTTCACACAATTATCCCATTACGATCTTGTGTACTATTATAGTTTTTCACACCAGAGAAACTATTCAGTATTTATAGGTGTGACTTATTTATTTCACTTAATAGTATATCCTCAGTATGTATCCATTTTCCTATGAATGACTAATTTCTCATTCTGTATGGCTGAATAGTATTCCATTTTATAGAAAAACCACATCTTTATCCAGTTTCCAACTGATGGGCAAATGGTCTGTTTCCAAGTTTTAGCTGTTACAAACTGTGCCGCTATAAACATTGGTGTGCATATATCACTGTGGTATGATTTTTAAATTTTTTTGGAAAAATACCCAGCAGAGGGATGGCTGGGTCAAATGGAACCTCCAGTCCCAGCTCTGAGGTATCTCCATGTTGATTTCCATAGTGGTTGCACCAGTCTGCACTCCCACCAACAATGGAGAAGGGTTCCTTTCTCCCCACAGCCCTGCCAACATTTGTTATTGATTGATTTCTTGATAGCAGCCATTCTTTGTGGGGTGAGGTGGAATCTCAGTGGGGTTTTCATCTGCATCTCTCGAATGACCAGTGATGTGGAACATATTTTCAAACAATTTTATTTGCTGCTTTTACTTCTTTGTCTGAGAAATGTCTGTTCATTTCAGATGCACATTTTTGAGTTGGGTCTTTATATTTTGGGGGGCTGGTTGTTTTGAGTTCTTTCTCTTTTTTTTTTTGGTACCGGGGATTGAACTCAGGTCCTTGCGCTTGCAAGGCAGGCCACCAAACCGCTGAGCTAAATCCCTGGCCCTTGAGTTCTTTATATATTCTAGATAATAGTCCGTTGTCTGATGAGCAGCTTGTAAAATTTTTTTCCCACAGTGTAGATTGTCTCTTAGTTCTTTTGATGGTTTCTTTTGCAGTGCAGAGCTTTTTAATAAGATAAGATCCCAGTTGTTGATTCTTTCTGCTAGTTCCCTTACTACTGAGGATTTGTTCATAAAGTCTTTTCCTGTGCCAATGTCTTCCTGAGTTCTGCCTAACTTATCATCCAGCAAGTTTAGTGTTTCTTTTTTAATATTTGTATCTTTAACCCACTTTGATTTTAGTTTAGTGTATGGTGAAAGATAAGGGTCTAGCTTTAATCTTTGGCAGATTGTGACCCAGTTTTTCCAACACCATTTATTAAAGAGGCTGTCTTTCCTCCAGTGGGGATGGTCAGCTCCTTTGTCAAGATGAGGTAGCTGAGTGCATCTGGAGTTGTTTTTGTGTCTTCCAGTCTGTTCCACTGATCCTCAGGTCTGTTTCTTTGCCAGTACCATGCTGTTTTTATCATAGTGGCTTTGTAGTATAGTTTCAGATTGGGAATTGTTATACCCGCTGCCATGTTGCCTAGTATGGCTTTTGCTACTCTAGGTCTCTTCTGGTTCCAAATGAATTTTTGGATTTTTCTTTCTAGTTCTGTGAAATATAGGGTTGGAATTTCAATTGGAATTGCATTGCATTGAATCTGTATAGCAGTTTTGGTAGTATGGCCATTTTCATTATGTTTATTCTTCCTACCCAGGAGCAGAGGATATGTTTCCATTTTCTTACATCCTCTTTGATCTCTTTTTTCAGGGTGCTGTAGTTTTCAGTGTAGAGGTCTTTTGCTTCTTTTGCTGGATTGATTCCTAGATACTTCATTTTTTTAGGGTGGTATTGTGAAAGGAATTGTTTCCCTAATTTCTTGCTCAGTGAGTCTGTTATTTGTGTGCAAGAAGGCTATTGATTTTTGGATGTTGACCTTATATCCATCTACTCTGCTAAAAGTGTCAATTAAGTCTTGAAGTCTTTTGGTGGAGTTTTTTTGTGTCTTCAATGTAGAGTATCATATCATCAGCAAATAATGACAGTTTAACTTCTTCCTTTCCTATCTGTTGCTTTAATCTCTTTCTCTTGTCTAATTGCTATGGCTAATGTTTACAGAACTATATCGAAGAGGAGTGGTGATACTGGGCATCCTTGTCTTGTTCCTGATTTTAACATGAACATTTTCAGTTTTTGGCCATCGAATATGATGTTGGCTGTTGGTTTTCATAGATAGCCTTTTATTAAGCAGAGATATAGACCATCTATTCCAATTTTTTGCAGCGTTTTTATCATGAATGGGTGTTGAATTTTGTCAAATGCTTTTTCTGCATCTATCGAGAGGATCATGTGGTTTTTGTCCTTAACTTTGTTAATATAGTGTATTACATTTATTCATTTACATATGTTGAACCATCCTTTCATCCCAGGAATAAATCCAACTTGGTCAGGATGTATGATCTTCTTGATGATCCTCTGTATTCCGTTTGCTAGTATCTTATTAAGGATTTTTGTATCTATATTCATTAAGGAGATTGGCCTGTAGTTCTCTTTTTTAGTTACACCTTTCCCTGATTTGGGAATCAAAGTGATACTTGCTTCTAGGAATGAATTTGGAAGTATTGCTTCCCTTTCAATTTCATTGAAAAGTCTGAAGAGTAATGGCAGTAGTTCTTCTCTAAATGTCTTGTAAAATTCAGCAGGGAATCCATCATGCCTTGGGCTTTTCTTTGTTGGTAAGTTTTTAATTACATTTTCAATTTCATTGATTGTAATTGGGGTGTTTAAATGTTTTTATCTTCTTCGTTCAACTTAGGTAATTCATAAGTATCTAGAAATCTGTCTATTTCTTCTGTATTTTCCATATTATTAGACTATAAGTTCTCAAAGTAGGTATTAATGATCCTCTGGATTTCTGTGGGATCTCTTGTGACTTCATCTTTTTCATTCCTGATTGCATGGATCTGAACTTT